TACCTGATTTTGATTAGATTTTCTAAGTGATTATTTCTAGTGTAGATAAATTACTTTTGGTTTATGTCATTTGATCTTATATTCGGAAGCCTTGCTGAACTCTCTCATGAGATCGATGGTTTATGAATCCTGCTTATTTTTTTTTTAGGTAGATGACACTTTTCCTCTTTAATCTTCTTTCCCCTTATCCGTTTCCTTTTCCTATAGCAATAGCCTGGACCTCTAATACTATCTTAACCATTAATGGTGACTGTGAAAATACATAATTTGAATTTACACTTTTCCCACTACGTAATATTTACAGTAGTCATGGCTATACAATCTTTACCAAGTTATTTCTTATTATTTCTAGTTTATTAAGGGTTTTTTCTTATGATGATAAATGTGTTAAACTTTTTCAATGCTATTTTGGCATCCGTTGACTTTTTTCTTGTAGTTGATTAATTTGGTTCTTTCATAGGTAGATTTTCTGAAGTGGAACAATCCTTTTGGCCCTGGGACAAACCCCCATGATCATAATACATCCTTTTAAAACACACTCTTGACTTTAGTAGCTGATAATTATTTTCATCTTTTACTCCATGCTAATCAGATAAATTAACCCATAATTTAATTTTCTTTTCTTCTCCTTCAGTGGTTTTGAGGCTAAGAGGGCATTAGCCAATTAAAATGAGCCGGGCAGCTTTTGCTTCATTGTTATTTTCTGCAACATCTCGGATAACACATGAACCACATGGGAGCGTGCTGGCTGGTGAACACGGAGGTGCCGAGGTGGTGTCACCAGGAGAGGGCGTGGACGCTGAGCCCTCCCGCTGCCCGCGTCTCCCTACGCCTCACTTCCCTAGGCCTATCCTCAGTGCATCCTTTAGAATAAACCTTGAAATGAACTTACAGACTTTTCCTGCTAAGACCTCAATCTGGGTTTTAGAAAAGCAGAAATACTGTGAAAGACTGAAGTAAACTAGGGCATACATAGTGAAACAACTTTTAGTATTATATAGGACAAGGACGTGATCTTGCAGACATTGGAAAATCGGGATTTGAAGCAGTTAAGACTATCTCTGTCAAGTAGACAAAGAACTACTACTGCTAACCCTCCACCAACAGAGCATATAAATACTAAGAGAAACAGGCATTGGCCAATCAACTCAGTGTCTACCACAGGCTGTCTCGAAGTCTTAGTGGAAGCATCATTTTTCCTGGCCTTTCAGCAGCCTGCGGATGCCGTGGACCTAAAGCTGCCTGGGTATTATACCATCGTGAGAAGCCCAGTGGATTTAAGTGCAATTAAGAGGCACTTGAGAAAGTATAGCAAGAAGACTTCAATACGTCGTTCTCAAATTGTTATTTATACAACAAGCCTGGAGATGACAGTGTTCTTATGACACAAGCCCTAGAGAGGTTGTTCACACAGAAATATCACAGATGCCACGAGAAGAGCACGTTGTGGGTGGTAAGGAAAGAATAAAGAAAGGCACTCAGCACAAGGCAGCAGTTTCTTCTGTTAAAGAAAAAGTCTCCCAAAGCGTTAGAAAAGGCATTTAAGCAGCAAGTGAGTCCCTCTGGATTTCCTGAAACATCTATTTCTCCTTTAACTATGGCACAAGGTGCCCCGCCCAACGCTTCCTCACACAGTGGCTGGGGCTACAAGCGGTGTGCAGAGGAAATCAGGTACAACTCCTACAACTTCAGTAGTTAAAGCAAGTGGTGAATCTTCCCCTGCACTTATGGGGGGTGGGAGGGGAGGAGCCCAGAAAAACCTCCTATAAAAGAAACTGCTGAGGAATATGTTACCAGATTCTCAGCAACAAAATTAAGTTGTAAAGAGTGTTAAAGTAACCGAACAATTAATTGTGTAACCGAACAATTAAGGCACTGTGGTGAGATTTTACAGATGTGCTTGCAAAGAAGCACTTTTCACATGCCTGGCCCTTGATGTCCATGCACTGGGACTCCATAACTACCATGATATTGTGAAAAATCCAACGGCTCTTGGAACTATCAAGAGAAAAATGGACAACCAAGTATGTAAGGATGCATGTGAATTTGCTGCAGATGCCAGATTAATGTTTATGAATCGCTGAAGCAGTGACAATGGCAAGAGTGCTCCAGAGGGTTTCTGAAAGGAATTTTGCGGAGATCCCAGATGAACCTGTTGAGAACATGCCTGTATGTAACATCAAAACAGACACCACAACATCCCCTGGTAGGGAAGGCGGTGTGAAGTCTGAAGATGCATGAGGTCAGTGCCTTGCAAAACTCCAGGAGCAGCTTAGAGCTGTTCATCAACAAGTACAGGTTCTGCCCCAAGTGCCTTTCCAGACGCTGAAGAAACGGAATGAGATGTCTGAAAGGGAAAAGGCTAATAGGCAGAGAAGAAAATCCAAGGGAAAAAGTGTAAGCAAATGAAATTAAAGGAAAAGCAACGAGCCAAAGAGAAAACAGCCAGTGTTGGCGCTGAAATCTGATGAAGATGATACTGAGCTATGAGCTATGGTGAGAAAAGGCAGTTAAGTCTGGATATAAACAAACGCCCTGGAGATAAGCTTGGGAAAGTCGTTCATATAATACCATCAAGAGAGCCTTCACTGAGACCTTCCAACTCGGATGAGGTAGAGACAGGCTCTGAGACCATGAACACGACGCTGAGAAAACTGGAGAGTAGGTTGCTGTGTGTCTGAGAAAAAGACCACGAAAACCTCGTGATAAGGAAATAATGATGTCCAAGAACTTCATTCCCAGGAAAAAACAGGAGTTGGAAAAGTGATTGCTGGGTGTCAATAATCAGTTAAATTCCAGAAAATGTGAACCCAAATCTGAGAAAGCTCCATCCTCAGAGTCTGAAGGCAGCAGGGTGAGTCAGTGCGTCAGACACAGTGATGCCCAATCAGGCCGCCTCCCTTAACTGCACCTCTGATCCTGGGGAAATTTTTTCTTGTAATATTGAGACATATTCTGAAGAAATGTTTGTTACGTACCCAGAACTTATGACTTGGATGCCACACTTATTATTTAATTGCATGTTGATGATCTCACTATTTTCCTTAAGAGATACTGTGTAAAATGAAAGTTCATGCCATATGTACATGACTTACTGGCTTGTAATCCTATATAATAAAAGCCTAATATGCTAAGTGCCCGGTTGACCGGCATTTTCTATTGTTTTAGAATTTGTCCACTCCTGGGATTTCAAAGAGTATTCATTCAGGATTGATTTATTTAAAAATCTTTGTAGAATGTGTGGCTATTTTCTTCTTTTTCTTTAATTTGATGTTTTATTTATATATTTTATGTTCATCAATCTTGTCAGAAGTAGGCCTACCTTATTAAACTTTTCAAAGAACAAGTTGTAAGTTTTCTTCATCTCCACGTTTTAAATCCCTTTCAGTGATTCTCCACCTTCCTAATGCCGCGACCCTTTAATACAGTTCCTCATGTTGTGGTGACCCCCAACCATAAAATTATTTTTGTTGCTACTTCATAACTGTAATTTTGCTACTGTTATGAATTGTAATGTAAATATCTGATATGCAGGATGTATTTAGGCGACCCCTGTGAAAAGGTCGTTCGACCCCAAAGGGGTCGCGACCCACAGGTTGAGAACCGCTGCTTTAGTTGATTTTAGGCCCTCACCATTATTATTTCTCTCTCTTCTATTTATTCAGGCTTGTTCTGTTGCTCACTTTCCATCTTCTTAAATTAAGTGCTTAGCTCATTTATTTATATCCTTTTATGTTTCTGACAAATGTATTTAAAGTTGTTAATTTTCCCTCTAAATATTAGCTCTGCCTCATAATTTTTTATATGTAATGTTTATACTATCATGATATATTATTATATACTTAATTATTTATATATAATATATCAATAACTATTATTTTGTTTCAAAACATGCTATTTTAGTTTCAGTTCTATACATTCTCAATTTTATTGCATTATGTTTGGAGAATTTATTCCGTATCATATTAATTCTTTGGAATTTATTTAAGCTTCTTTATTTCCTCATACAAGGTCTACTTTTGTAAATGGTCTCTGTGTATTAAAATATGTATATGATTTGTTTTTATTTACAGAGTGTTTTATATATGTGTGTACACATGTATATTTATAAATAATGTATTTTATTAAATACTCATAATACATTTATAAGTTGAAAACATTTTAAACATTTAAATAGATATTTTCTATATTTCAAAATAGTATTTATTTTAAGATATAGTTTATTATATACTAGAGGCCCAGTGCACAAAATCCATGCTTGGGGGGGGAGGGTCCCTTAGCCTGGCCCGCACCCTCTCCAATCTGGGACCTCTCACAATCTGGGACCGCTGGCTCCTAACTGCTCACCTGTCTGCCTGCCTCATTGCCGCTAACCTCTTTGCCTGCCTGCCTGATCCCCCTAACTGCCCTCCCCTGCCAGCCTGATAGGCCCTAACTGCCTCTGCCTCTGCCTCTGCCTCCGGCACTGTGGCTTTGTCAGGAAGGATGTCCAGATGGATGTCCAGATGGATATCCAGAAGATGTCTGGTCTAATTAGCATATTACCCTTTTATTAGTATAGATTATAAATATATGTTATAATAAATATAACATTTGCATGTATTATATAAATATGTATGATACCTGAAATTTATTAATCTTCTGGTTTAGAACTTCAGTTCCTGTTTATTTTTTGCTTCAGTGATCTTATATACTCTTTTGAGAGGGATGTGACTCTTCAACTACAATTATTTACTTTTCCTTGCAGTTCTGAGAGTGCGTCTTGGTATATTTTATGGCCATACATGTAGGTACATATATATTTATGATGGATCTATTTTCTTATTGAGGTGTGCCTCTTATCAGTACTTATTATAATCCACCTGGCTTGGAGTTTGGAGAAGAAAGGAATTAGGGAGCAAATATCCATGGGCAGTTGGCCATCTATTCCCATCAGTGCTCCACTGCTTTTGCTGCGCCTTATGGCCCCCTGGCGCACCTGTGACCTGGGCTGCTGCAGCCTATTTCTGTGATGAAGGGGAGGCCATGACAGTCTCAAAATGCATGACTGCAAGAGTCAAGAGCAGAAATCAAAAGTGTCCTCTCACCTCTTTCTTGCTATGGCTCCAGCCACTGTTTGCCCCAGACGCGCCCACCATTCAACTCACACCAACACAGCCTCCAGCTCCCACCGTGTTTGGTTCCATTTGGTCTCATTCCAGAAATCCATGGCTACCCTTTCTATCGTTCCTCCAGAGTTCATGACCTGTATCGTCCTCCCCATTTCTCTCTCCCCAACTTTGTATCTGAGCCCCTGGGGCTTGTCTGCAGCACCCTGGGCCTCAATCATCTTGGAAGAATCTTGGGTTTCCTCTTCATGATTCTGAGGCTGCATGAGCTACCTGGCCATCCCTTCAGGACCCTCCCTCCTGGTGAGACTCCTGACCTACCTGAGTTCAGATCCATTGAGGGACGATGGACCAGAGGTCCCCTCTGGAGAAGTGATCAGAACTGAGAAGGACATAAAAAAAAAAAAAAAAAAACAATGGCTGCTCAGGAGACCAGAATACAGCATGGGATTAACCTCCAAACCCCTGGAAGGACGTATAGAGGAGACAGCACCTTAGGGCCCGGTAGGCCAGGGGTAACTGGGGCTCGGGATCATTACAACCAACTGAAGCCAGGCTGGCACTGGCGCAAAGAGAGGAGTTTCTCCCTGAGCTGGTGGTAAGCAAGGGGCGGAGCTGGGACATGCAGGTACAGGGTCTTTTAAGATAGACTTGCCTCTTGGGATACCCCGCCCATCCACGGCTGTCTTCCTGGTCAGATCACATGGGGCACATTTTCCTCCCTGGGTCTTAAGCCCTGAATCCAGCTTCCCACCAGCCCAGGCCCAGGGGCTCAGCCCCCAGCAGCAGGCCTCCATGGTGCCCCCTTCCCTGAGTCTGAGCTTCCCGGGCTACCTGGCCACCCTGTCCTCTCCTTGCACTGAGACCTTTGACCTACCTGTCCTTTCCAAGGGCGAGGTGGTCCTCCACATCGGAGAAGGGGTCGGGGCTAAAGAGAAAAGAAAGTAGGCAATGACTTTCCGGAGGCCAGAAGACAGAATGGGGTCTGGTCCCAAAGCTGTGAGAGGAAGTAGACGACCCAGAGATGGTCCCTCAGGGTCCCTTAGGCCAGGGGTGACTTGTGACTAAGGTCTGTACACCAGAGGTGTTGCTGTGTGTGTGTGTAAGAAAAAGAGAGTCCTAGAGAGACTCCTGGCCAGTGAGTACTAAGCATCTCTTCCCACCAGTGGGAGCCGGAATGGGCAGAAAGGAACAAAGGTGACAGCCCTTCTCCGGAGACAGGGGGCTCAACCGCCTTGGACATCTGGAGCGGTGTTTCGCCCAGGCCCTGGGAGGGAGGGGCCATTTCCTCAAGAAAGGAGCTTACCTGGAGACACCAGCAGGCTGATGTTTCTGAGAACAGTGATGGTGTTTTCAGAAGAGTTGTAGGGTCCACACCAGTAGAACCCGGAGTCCCTCTCAGTCAGCTGAGCCATGCTGATGTTGAAGAAACCAGCATCTGGCACGTCCCAGATTGTGTATCGAGAATCCTGAGTTACTGCTGTTCGGGGCTCAGAGCTGGTGACTAACCTGGTACAGCGATTTGGAGATGTCTGCTGACACCAGGTTTTCTGCCTGTAGGGTCCTCCCGCGGGAGAGTACTGGCATCGCACAGAGAGTGTCTGCCCCGCCACGTCATGGAGCTCCTCAGGCACAACTTGCTGTCCCTGGGAACCTGGAGAACAAGCCCTCGTGTCAGGGCTCTGGCTGGACCCAGCCACCCCCGTCACAGGGTGTGGAAGGAGAGAAGGACCAACTTCTGATGCCCACACCCAGAAAATGGTCCCCAAAGCCAGCCCCCTGGTCACAGAGCCACCCTGCTCCCTGTCCCCGCTCTCTCCTTTACTTCCCGCATCTCACCTGAGGCCAGGAACACCAGCAGGACAGGTGGCAGAAGGAGGCATGGGGCTCCCCAGGCCATGCCACCCCCAACCTGTTTCTGACGGTGGCGGACAGAAGGAAAGGGGAGGGCGAGGGAACCAGACGCTGGACCTAATTCTGCCCCAGCATCCCAGCGTCTCTGAAATGGGAGAACTGAGAAAGCCCAACACCTTGACTGGGGAAGTGGTTGGCTCAAGAGGCAGGCTCTGTGGGCGAGGGGAGGGAGGAGCAGCCAGGCCTGGGTGGGGGGCCAACAGCTGAGGGTCTGTCTCTGGCCTGGAGACCTCAGCTCTGACTCAGTTGCTTCTTTTTGCCTAACTTCTCCCCATCTTCATCGCTCCACACTGTCCACCTATCACACTCCTTCGTTGTTGCTGGTGGAACCTCTGCGAATGTCCAAGAAGAAACCATGGTGCAAGAGAAACTGTTCCTCTTTTCTGTCTCTCTGTGCAGCCTATGAACGGTTGGGGGCCCTTGGTGCCTGACCGCAATCATGAATCCCTCTGGTACCCAGGGTAAGACAGGGACCCCCCTCCCAGGCAAGGTAGGTCAGTAATGTGCTTTTACTCTAGGAGGTTGGGAGGGCAGAGTTTCAATTCCAGGGACTGTAAGGATGGTCCCTGGGAAAGGTGGGGTCCAGGAGAGGTGGGAGGGAGGAAAGGGAACCCTGAATGGGGATTCTCAGAGGGGAGGGCAGGAAGCAGCGGGTCAGTTGGGTTGTGGGAGGAGAAGGCAGGGAAGGGGGTTCAACGTCATGTTCATATCTTCAGTTCTCACTCCCTAATGGTGTTCAATCAATTGGTGTTGATTAAAGGCATTTGTTAGTGGGGGAAAAGAGGAAACATCTTTTTGTTTTAATAATGTGTGTGTAGCCCTAACTGGTTTGGCTCAGTGGATAGAGCGTCGGCCTGCGGACTGAAGGGTCCCAGGTTCGATTGCAGTCAAAGGCATGTAGCTTTGTTATGGGCACATCCCCAGTAGGAGGTGTGCAGGAGGCAGCTGATCGATGTTTCGCTCTCATCGATGTTTCTAACTCTCTATCCCTCTCCCTTCTTCTCTGTAAAAAAAATCAATAAAATATATTTTAAAAAAATAAAAAATACACAGCCATTTCTTAAAAGATAATAATAATAACGTGTGTGTAAAAATGTATGGAGGGGAAAAAATGGCCAAATTGGAACAGCCTGAACAACAAAATAAAGTGGCTTTGAATTATAACCCAAATATAAAATAAATACCCATGAGTTTGTACTAATATAAGTAAACTAGAGGCCCGGGGCACCAAAATTTTTGCACTCGGGGGGGG